ACTTTCAAGATCCTTGATCTCGCAATCAATCGGAAACAGCTCTCGGTCGAGGGTGAAGACGATCCCCTGCGTCTGACCCTGTGGTGGCTTTGGAACATTGCTCGATACGGCGGGGGCTTTTATGAGAGAGACGGCGAGCTGGAAGACCCACGCTGGAGGCTGACAGATGCCAGATGGCTCCATTTCGATCAGGATTGGTCGAGCAATGTGCGAACAACACTGCGGTGGAAGAATGTCAAAGAATGGTTCTCAGAGCAACGACTGGATGAGCACATAATCCACGAACAGCAAGTCCAAGGACACACGATAACTGCATAGGAGCAATAGATCCGTTAATGCGACATAGCAAGAATGCAATTGGACCTTTTCTGTTACTCTGCAAATCTCGCATTGAGCATCAGCAAAGTGGTGATGTAGGCGGCTCCGTTTAACGAGCCTCGTGACCCACAAGGCCGTCAATACGAAAGACAGAGATGGAGGGAATCTACAGTGTCAGGCACTTACGGCCGAAATATTCTGGTTCCGGACCCGGCCGTCTGGTTTCGCCAGGTATAAAAGCGGAGCCGAGATGAAGCGGACTCATTTGAGTCGTCCCTGGGGTACCGGGGGATATACTGGAAGAGGAACAGGATGACCTACAACGGATCAAAGATCGCAGTAACAAACCAATCATGATTCTTCTCATCGGCGGCAGTCCGCGATATGGCCGAGTCAATCTGGCCTCCGGTCTTTACATCAGCGGAAGATGCCCGGAGGTTCGTTTTAGACTTTCAGATTGCGGCAAATCGTTGATTGGGGTAGTCGCCACTGCCGCGGACTCGTTGACATCACTGCAAATTCGGCCGAAGAGGGTTCCTGCGTTCCTACAGCGGGCCGATTAAATAGATTTACCCGGCCGTGATTGTTAGGAGACGCCGCAAGAATGAAGAAGAAAGTATATAGTCCTGTATACAGGACGTTAAGCCCCGTTACATTGCTTGAATAAAACCCATACCAACCCAGATGAATGTGTCGATGCAAGCACAGCTTTCTGTATCCCATCAGCCTCCATGACGCCACTCAATCATTGGGGCATCACCCTCGTTGTTGTTCCAATTGTGGCATGTGTCGTGACAACCATCTTCTTCGTCCTTCGCTTGTATTCTCGGCGACTTGTCCGTCAGAATCTTGATGTCGGGGATATGTTGATGGGTATAGGGCTTGCCTTCTCATACGGGCTAACCCTCTGTACTGTGATATGTTAGTTACATCATAACCCCAGTTCCACTGTCAATTAGCTTACATGTTATCTAGCGGCATTCAACGGCGTTGGTAACGATTTCTGGTCCCTCTCCAGGCCTACCAGAGGAACAGTCACTTTGGTGAGTACACCCAACCCCCGCTTTAGGGCCAAGTTCTAACCAAATGGGCTAGCTCTTCTGGTGCTCAACCAAATTCTGGGTATTAGGCCACGTCTTCGTGAAGATTTCCTACCTCGTTCTGCTCCGCAAGCTTTTCGGAGCCATCACATATTGGCGGAAGCTTACCACTGCATTGATCGTGTTCACGCTTGCCTGGGGCATTGCTTCCCTGCTTGTCAGCATCTTCCAATGCTGGCCTGTGCGTTATTTCTGGATCAAACATATTGATGGCAGCTGCATGCGTGGGCGAAATACCTTTTACATCGTAGCTGGGTCCATTGCGCTGGCCGAGAATATCGTATTGGTCTTGGTGCCCTTGATCGTGGTTTGGGGAATGAAACTGACGCCCCGACAGAAGGTGGAACTAAGTCTTCTTTTCGGATTTGGTGGATTGTATGTTTCCTGCTATGCAAATTGTTTAAACTATTTGACTGTATGATGCTGACAGTGACAAAAGGGTCTGTGTCGTTGGGTTTCTGCGTATGATCACGTTCAAGAGATACGTGACGGCGGATGCTACCAGTATGCCAACCCATCTACCCTGATGGTCAAACGATGAAAATTGCTAATGCCTCCCAGAAAACGGATACCTCCAGTCCATATGGTCCATTGTCGAACTTGATTTGGGAATCATATGTGCTTCGGTGATCTTGATGCGCCCGATATTCCACCGCGTCACAAAGACATTCAAGATAAAATGTTGCGCCAAGCGTGGCCAAACGTCCGATTCCAGCGCCTCTTCAAAACGCGCGCAGATGATGAAGTCATTGTCATGGCCGAGGCCGCTGTCATTTGCAGGAACGGGATCAGTGGATGAGTGGTCGCAAGTGCGAGCTTCAGCATACAGTACGCGTGTGCGTGGTAGTGTGGATGAAACTCCCAGCTTAGCTGGGGTCCGGGACATAATGGTTGAAGTGTCGATTGATAGCAAGATGAGAGCGAAAGAGGAGATGGTGTAGCACATGACTTCCACCGTGTCAGCTGATCCCTGGCAGAATCCATGCAGTCATTACCTTCTCTGTCAATAGTAATCTAGTATACTACTTAGTACTTATGCATTCTACTATATTTTCTATATGGATTCAAATGGGCAGGAGTCCGCCCTACACCCTGCCCAAGATGAGACTGGCTTCAGGAAGCGAAAGACTGATTGGTATATACTAGTATGACTGGCAGTACTGAGGAAAGGTATCCGGTTGATCGAGAAGTTGTCCTACCACTTCCTCATTCAACCCCGCGGTTACGTGCATTTTCTTCCGTGGACAACCACCACATCAGCTCCACACCATCTGAGGTTATCCAGCGCATGTCATTTGTTTTCCTTGAATGCTGACGTATTATCCTTTTCCATCTAGGAATACGCTGAATACGATATCTACCCTTCCAAGATGCTGCATCTCATAGGCCACCGCGGTTTCAACGAGCGTATTGCGGATAGACAAGATGCTCGTATGATTTCGGATTCATCTCTCCGGCAAGGGTTATCAGACCTGCTGCACATAATCCCCATTCGTTCCACCCTGACTGGCTCATCAATTCGAGTGATCGGCCCTAGTGATCGGCACCCCGCGCTCCCCATCCTCGGTCCGCGTTCCGTTCAAGATAGTGGCATATGAACTCGTTACGGCGGGTACAACTACGGGGGATGTATACCAACGGGATTGAGCTGGTGACCATTGAGAAAGAATGTATGAGATTAATGATGGTAGTACACAGGGTCGTGACTGCTGCTTTCATACTGTCGTAGTATATAATGGGCACCACAATCCGACCGACCCTCTTAATGGAAGTTCTCAGCTTCATCATAGATCTATTCAACCATCCCAGAATTTTGAATCCATCATCCAGTCTCCGCCGCACCAGAGATCATCACCATCATGCCCCTTACAACCGCCTTTTCCCTTACCACTCTCACACCTTCAATCCATCAACTACCAGTCTCGCTTTCCATCACCCTCACACTCGCCTTCCTCGCCTACCTTCTCCTCGTCTCCACTCTTCGCTTCCAGCGCGTTCGCAATCTCTACCGCGACTACCCACAGTATGCAAACCGTGCATCTATGTCTCAAATGACCGTCCATGATGCATGGGCCATACAAAAGAACATAATGCAACTCGAGTTCCCTACAACTGCAGTGAAAGCCCTTCAGTTTGCACTCTTTCGGGTAACTGTTCCTCCTTACCTCCCCTCGTCATGGAATCCTACTAATCACATGTGATCTCCCATCCCAGACATACGGCATCCCGACCATCTCTTCCCTCCTTCTGAATACTTCCCAGCTTTCAGACCCTGCCACCTCCTTCAAGCGCTATGCAGATACGGGTGCCCTTATCGGTCAGTTCGTGACATGCCCTCCTACTTCCTCTCGGGCGCGCACTGCCATTGCCCGAACCAAATTTCTACACTCCGGATACCGTGCCAGCGGTAGAATCCTCGAGCCTGACATGCTCTATACTTTGAGCCTATTCGCCACAGAACCCATCCGCTTTGTGGAGCGGTTCGAGTGGAGGACAATGACGGAGTTGGAACAGTGTGCCATCGGAACGTACTGGAAGAGCCTGGGAGATGCGTTGGATATCAGCTATCATGCGCTACCGTCGGGAAAAAGTGGGTTCAAAGATGGACTGCATTTCTTGGAAGAGCTCCGGCAGTGGAGTGACCATTATGAAGAAGAGAACATGAGACCCGACCACCGGAACAGACTGGTAGCGAACAAGACGATGGATGTCATTGTTTACGGATTTCCCCAGTGGGTGAGAGGCGTCGCTGTCGGTTTTGCCACTTGTGTGATGGACAATAGGTTGCGGGAAGCAATGATGTGAGCTTTTCTTGCATAACACATTCTTTATGATGGCTTATGCCGAGAACCATGTGCTGATAAATCAGGTACGAGGCGCCACCCATGCGGTATCGGAGGATTTTTGCGGGGCTAGTAGCCCTACGGAAGTATTTCCTGCGATACCTTGGGCTTCCTCGGCCGATGCTTCTCCGAGAAGAAGTTTTCAGCGAGACTCCTAATGAAGAGGGTCGGTATTATGTTCGAGTTTGGAAAGGAATGCCATACTACGTGCAGCCAACCGTCTGGAACCGCTGGGGTCCAGCGGCGTGGTTGACGTGGGCCCTAGGCCTTCCACTTCCCGGCGATGATGGCGAAACTTACTACCCCGGGGGCTTTGATGTAGCCAATTTGGGACCAAGGTACTTCGAAGGAAAGGGACGAAAGTCAGTGTGTGAGTTTGTAGAAGTATTGGAAAAGGAACACAGGGGACAGTGTCCCTTTGGCAGTAACAGTGACCAGCCAGAGTTATATTTTCGTGGCCAGTTCTAGAATGAACACGGCCTAAGATGACTTTGCTAGAACGAATATTATCTGGATGGAATACACTGCCTATCTTGCGCAAGCAAATCATTGTGTCGTCAGCGTGGGTCTAACCGTTGCGAACCATGGTTCCCCCAGAGTGTCAGGATATCGGCGAGCCTTGACATCAGAAACCTTCCCGCCACACCCGTGAAGTCCAGAACGCCGTGGGCGTCGCTTTATATACCGGTTGGCTGTCCTCGTGGCTGTCTCGTTTAAGCAGTAACAACCATTGTCCGTCATGTCTTCCATTTCGGCACCGCCAACTCCTCCGCCTGAGCGCCGGTCGCCAGAGGGGATGGATGCGTGGATTCTAGGGGCCGGCATTTCTTCTCTGACTGCAGCTGTACACCTCATTCAGGAAGCGCATGTGCCTCCATCTCGTGTTCACATCCTTGAAACCCTCAGTCAAGCTGGCGGCGGGACTATCAGTACGGGCGACCCGATCAATGGATATGATTGCCGGGCAGGAGGGATGCCTCCATTCAACGACGCCTGTATGGAAGAACTTCTCTCCCTGGTTCCCTCTAGGACAAAGTCAAACCAGACCGTCCTCGAAGACCTTGACGAGTTCTGGGCCACCGAAGCCATTAAAGATCGTCCTCATACTCGCTTCCTCACCCGTCATAAACATAGTCTTGAACGCATTGACGCCAAACGAGCGAGTTTGGGACTGCGCGACCGCGTGGACCTCTTCATGCTGGTTTCAAAATCGGACAAGTCCCTGGGCCGCTCGCGCATCTGCGACCATTTCAGCAATAGCTTCTTCAAAAGCTGCTACTGGATGCTACTTTCCACGACGTGAGCCGTACCTCTGTATCATCTATTTGCCATGCCTAACAACCTCCTAGCTTTGGCATAAAGCCTGTCCATAGTGCAGCCGAGTTCCGGCGCTACCTTCAACACTACATGCACAGCATTCACGAGATCCACCTTCGCCGGAAGCTAGATGGTGGCCGTTTTAACCGGCACGAGTCTATCGTCGCACCGGTCGCTCAATTCCTGCGGTCCCGGGGCGTAGACTTCCGCTTTCACACGACAGTCACTGATATCATCACTACCCCTTCAAGCAGCGATCCACACCGGGTATCAGCCATCAAAGCCATACATGAAGATGAGCCCGAGCAGACGATAAACCTGGGGCCGCGGGACATCGTGCTGGTCTCACTAGGCTCGGTTATGTCCGGCTCCACAACGGGCACCAATACGTCCCCACCATCCCTGGAACTAATGGAGATCGAGAAAGACTTGGACGAGAACTGGCTTCTGTGGCTGGAGCTATCCACTAAGAACCCTATCTTCGGGAACGCATACAACTTCTGCACACGCATGGGAGAGTCCCGCCTGGAATCCTTCACCGTCACCTTTTCCTCCCCCGAGTTCTTCAACCGTTTTACCGCCCTCACCGGTGATAAAGTAGGATGCGGCACTTTCGTCACCCTCAAAGACACTCCCTGGCTCCTGAACCTCAATCTCCCCCAGCAGCCTCTATTCCCCGATCAACCTGCGCACGTGCAGGTGCTCTGGGGCTACGCAATGTACCCCGAGCGGGAGGGCGACTACGTCAAGAAACCCATGCTCGAATGCTCGGGACAAGAAATCATGGAAGAGATATTAAAACAACTGAACTTCCCTGTGCAGGGGATCCTAGACCACTCCATCACCCTACCCTGCGTGATTCCACGAGCAGCGGCAACACTGTTGCCCCGCTTGCGCGGCGATCGACCACAAGTGATACCCCCGGGGATCGACAACCTCGGACTCATTGGCCAATTCGTGGACATCCCGGGAGAGGTGGCCGTGACGATGGATTACAGTGTGCGGTCAGCACAGACGGCGGTCCGCCAGCTAATGGGGCTGGAAACGCACAAGACAGTATCCAAGCGAAGTTCCGCGGTCAATCTGCGGGCTTTGTAGAGTTCCTACTAACTGACATACTTCTCGCTGGTTCTTACTTGTTTCAACACCTCGCAAATGAGCCTGGGTTTATGATTCATGCATTGTTTATACCGCTTTGTCGTGCGCTGAAATTACTGCGTCTATACCTTCATGCAGTTTACCAGAACTCCCTCAGTTGGATTCAACAGTCTCTTCGCGGGGATATATCAGGGCGCCTAAACCATCTTCTGATGCAGCTCTGAACCAGACAAAAAGCACTATTACCTTTTCTGTACAGCATGTTTGAAGTTAGCCTGTTCTTTGTTTATAATGTGTTAAATTAGCCTCGTTTATCAATCAATTTAGATTGTGCGTTTCGAATCTTTCAGGCCATTGTTCAGGACGGGGGATTCAGTAACGGGTAGGAGTAGTTGTTCTGGGATTCTAGGATAGTGTCGCCACCCTGCGTACACCTTCTTCTCCTTTTACATGAGTGAAAACATGGAGGTGGGTTTGGTGTTAGGGTGGTGATGAGGAAGGTACGTGTCCAGGGATAGCTTTCATAGTCTGTTCTTCCACCCATAAAGGAACGGGAAACGATGATGGATAATAAGTAGCTTTGATAGTGAGGACTTTATCTTTCTGACTCAATTTTGAGGAATGCATCTATCTAGGATACTAACCAGAGACTATTTGATGGGTAGTTAGGTGGGTCTTTCAAGAATCATGTAGTGGTAGAAGCTATACAAATTTCCTTCCGATACAGAAGTCAAATCGATATGAATACCAAGATAAGCTGATACCAACAATGATGTTGGGGGCAATATAATGCCAATTCGTGATAATAAAAAGTGGGTGAGTATACCGGTAAAAGTCGTATCTATCGTGCCAATAACGAACCCAGAATATATGCTCCAATACCGCTGCAAGGATAACTCCAATAAAAAAGACGGACAATGTTCGCCGATCAAAAGATGTGCTCATATGTCGGTCGACGTCGGATCCATTCCCATAAATACTTTATACAACCGTCTACTCACGGCCGGACCGATGCGTGAGTCGGTAAGAGCGCCGTTTTTGTTTGCTGATTTCTGAAGGTATAACCGTCAGTATGTACTTGGAGAGGTAATCGAATAAGGTGGGAACAGAATTATCATACTTTGACATCTTCCAGCAGTCCCGGTCCGTGTTTCCTCATTGCGTTCACCAAATCCATCGCACTTGGGTATTGTGTTGCAATACCATATGCCATTGACGCCGTGACTCGGTTCACCTCCTGGAGCATTTTGACGAAGGCGTCGGACCGGTTCTCGCCGGGCTTGACTTGTCCCACGTCCATACAGAATGCGGAGTCATTCAGGTCCATCCGCTCACGACGATAAGGTACAGTGGAAATATACTCGGTAAAATTCTTGATCCATTCAGCGGACTCTGCGGGGGAACTCGTGTGGTGTATTAGACATGAGTGAGTCACCTGTAGATCGAGCAGAGCGTCTTCGACCGTGTCGCTGTCTATAGGTGTGATAGTTTCGGGTTGCTGTTGTTTCCTCCGACCTGATGGACGAGCAGAAGTGTCTTCGAAATGTCGTCGTACAGCGGCTTGGTAGGCCCTGTTTTGCGCATTGTTATTCTTCCGCATCAGACTCGTTAGACCTTCAATCAGATAGATTGGCCGAGATTTTGGGTAGGCAGATTTCAGGCGTCGAACGTGGTCGCTGACAGTGTTTCTTGGCTCGGTGGTTGAAGGAGCCACGATCATATCGATAAAGTCCTGGGCCGTTATCAAGCACAACACATGCTCCTCTTCCTCACGGATGTGAAGTGCACACGGTTCCCAGTGTCCCAGGGAGTCATTGTATGTAGCTCGGACCTTGCGACGCCACTTGACGATATTTGGTATGGCACTGGGAAAGAACGTGAGATCAACTTTGAGAAGACGCATGAGCTCTGATGTTTGGTTGCCGAGACTTGTGTCGGTAAAAGTAGAGGCCAGGTCAATTAACATCTCATGCGTGGAATCCTTCTTGTCCACCTTGAGTTTGTTAACCTCAGCAATGTCCGCTGCTAGTTGCTTTTCGCGGGCTTTATCCTCCTTGGCTTTCTGCTTGCGCTCCTTTTCGAGTTGTTTATCTCGTTCTCGTTGCACCTTGGCCGCCTCCCGCTCTCTGGCTTTGGCCTCCTTCTCTTCGCTTGTAACCTTGGTGGTTTTGCGCTGGGGCTTCCGCGGTGGCGGCATCTCTTCGACCTCTATGTCATCGCTCTGGTCGTACTGCTTGCGGCCTCTCGTCGATCGGCGCACCGATTCGTCATTGCTGCCGTGAGAACGGTCTTCCAGAGTCGCTAGTAGATTCGCTGTCCGGCTTGAGAACGCATTTGCTTCCACTCGCTGAGCTATATCAAGTAAATCGTCGACGTCTGGGAAATCAAGTTGGTCGCTGGACACTTGGATTTCCTCCCTCCGTAGTCGGTTGTTCCGGGTGACGTTGGGAATATTATCATCTTCATCATCAATCGGGATAGGGTTGACATCACGCGTTAATTTGGCTGGTCTGACTGGTAGATTATGTCTGGTTTCAGGCGCCGACGAGGTAAAGACGATCGGGTCGGATTCTCCATTCCAAACCGGAGGTTTCGCAGGGGCGGGACCGTCCGAGGATAAGATTATGTCGTCATCGGAGAAGAGGAAGAGCGAATTCTTTGCTGGCGGCAGCGGGACTTCTTTAGCGGGTGTAATCTCATGGCTCAAGCGTCGTCGTTTAGCGGGCTGCTCAACGGGGTTATCGTAGGTAAATGCGGAGAGATCGATTTCGTCGGAAAAGATGGAGTCCGAGGCGGGCACGACAGGCGGGTGCGAATGAGCCCGGCGGATGGACAGCTGCTCGCGTCTTTCTATCGGGGGCGGAGGGGTGGAGGAGAGGAGGTCGATGACCTCTGGCATCTTGCCCAAAACACCAAAAGGCCCAACTTCGTGAAGGCAATGGCGGGGATGAAGAACAACTGCCGAGTTGGAGATAACGGCACGTGTCGCGGGGATCACGTCGGTGGCGCGGTGTCACGTGAAGTCATTCAATATCTACTAGATATCAAAGTGGATGAACTGAGCATCACGAATTGAATATTGTACACGCAAGTCAAGGGTATTATTCTAACAAACAATCAAAGCAGCTTCACGAGAAATGCAGCAGCGAGGGCAAGCACCACTCCCACCAATGCAAGCAAGGCAAGAACCTGTTGGAAGCCATGGAATGGCCGCTGCTCCTGGCCGAGCATCTCCTCGATTTCCTGCTCGAGTTTCTCGCCCATAGCCATCAGTGAGAACTCCTTCTCGACACGCTCCTTCGCAGCCACAGACATCCTGTCCAGCTCCTCCTGCTTCATGCCATAGAGCACCTTGTCCATCACCGCAGTCCAATCGGCATCCACCTTGGCGTCACGGAGCCAGCCCGTTTCGCCCTCCACAATAGTCTCCAACGGCCCTCCAGTATTCGAAGCAAGCACCGGCACGCCAGCGCGCATCGCCTCGACCGGCACAATTCCGAAGTGTTCGTTGATCGGCGTATACAGGAGCAACTTCGCCTGCAGCAAAAGGGTATCACGGAACGCCGTCGGCACGGACAACAGGAAGAGGACATCGATAGAATCAGGGATCGATAGCGCCGAGATAACCGTTTTAGATGTCGCCGTCTGCAAGCCCAACCCAGTCGCCAACTCATCCAGCTCCCGATGATACTGCACATTCTCCTGGACGCGATTGTCGTAACCACCTGCACCACGCACACAACCAGTTAGCGCACTCCTCTCAACCAGCAAACGAGCGCATCCTCAACAGTCAGACAGAAAAGGGCAATACTCACCAGCAACAACCAACCTCGTCCCCTTCCTCTTCTCCGCCCCAAGACCATGATACGCGCGAATCGCCAGCGCCAGGTCCTTCTTCCTCTCAAACCGATTAACACTAAGCAAGATCTTCTTCCCACCCCACAACTGCTCCCCATCTTTCACCACCCCCTCACCCCCATCCCCAGCCTTAGTATCAACACACGGATAAACAACACTCAACTCCCCAACCTTCTCCCTCCCAAACACCCCACTAACCACCCCCCTTGTAAACCTCGAATTCGCAACCACCTTATCCGACGCACTCACAGCCCACCCCTCAAACCAATCAAACGGCACACGATACAACCCCTTCAGCACCTGCAACACAGAACCCCCCTCGTCCCTCCTCGCAAGCAACTGATCCGGGAAATGGCAATAGAACAAAATCCTCTGCCGCTTCCTGCTAGTCTTCTTCCCCCCAAACACCTTCAAAAACGGCACACAGGCCGGCATCTGATCCACAATAAACACCTCTTCCTCACCATCCTCAGTTCCTCCGCTTGTAGCACCCTCCCCAACCAACAACTCCCACGTCAAATGCAACTGTCTCAATATAGCCATAAGCACAAATAACCGTCCGCCCACATGCGCCGGGAAGATCGTATTCCCGCGCACCTGCACATCAAGCGTCCCATCGCGCGCCTCCTCAAAACAATGCGATTTATCCCGGTGCGAGGTGTAAATTGTAACGGGGTGGCCGCGCGATTGTAGTGCGAGGGCCACGTCAATGATCAGACGTTCTGCGCCGCCGATGCCGAGGTCGGGGTGGATGATGGTGATTTTGGCTGGGGGCATGGTTGTGTTCCCTTCTTCTTTTGATTTTCGTTTGGGTTTTGTGATGAGAGGGTAATTGAGTCGAGGGAATATTTTTAAGTGGACAGTGGCATTGCGTATTGAGAATTGAGTGAGTTGTAGGTGGTTTCGTAGCTGGTGGTTTTTGTAGTTGATTTAATTAGTTGCGGAGGTGGTAGCCTGCTGAACGGAAAGAGACACGCGGCCGATTGGGAGATTGCGTCATGTGATGATCTATCTATCTCTCTTATCGCCGTTCGGGGACAGGGGGTATATTTAGATCGCTATAATATTGAGCAGGGTACTGGGATTTTTGTATTATGCTATTCTGTATTTATATCTGTCACTTTGAGTTTTAGATTGTTCTA